AGAGGACAGAAGCAGGGGTGAGAGAGGAGAGAAATTTGAAAACGCTATGCTTCTGGCTTGGACGATGGAACCACTAACCAAGAAATGTATGCAGCCTCTAGAAGCTAGAAAAGGCAAGAAAATGGATGCTTTCCTAGAGCCTCCAGAAGGAATGCAGCCCTGCTTAAACCTTGATTTTTATCATGGTCATAGGTCCTATCCTATGGTTATAGGTCCAACACGGTCTTAACCATGTTGCACCTATGACCTCCAGATCTGTAAGAAACTTAATTCGTTTTGTTTGGGGCCACCAAGTGTAAGCAGCAATAGGAAACTAATATAAGAGTTAAGGAAGAAGTAAAACATTTCTTATATGCATATCTATCCCTAGAGGGAAAATGGAAGCTATATCAAGATGGCTATATATTTCGGGCGCCTGGGTGGCTCAGATGGTTAAGCGTCTGCCTTCGGCTCAGGTCGTGATCCCAGAGTCCTGGGATCGAGTCCCACATCGGGCTCCCTGCTCCTTGGGGGCCTGCTTCTCCCTCTGCCTCTCTCTCTCTCTCTCTCTCTCTCTGTCTCTCATGAATAAATAAATAAAATCTTAAAAGAAAAGATGGCTATATATTTCAAAATGACGTGGGAGAGCATTTCTTTGTGGAAGGGTAGTGGGCATTGCCGATTTCTTGCTGGCATCCCATCCAATATTCACTGCACCTTTCATACCATATGACCCAGCAATTACACTCTTAAGCATATACCTAAGGGAAATTGAAAATGTATGTCCATGTAGAAACTTGTTCACAAATGTTGAGGACAGCATTCTCATAGTATCAAAAACTAAGAAACAATCCAAATTTCCATCAACTGATAAATGGATAAATAGAATCTAGTATGCAAAAAAAGTACCCCAATGTTTTTGGAAATAATTCAGCCCTCTTCCACGCTTGTGATAGACTTTATGGAAAACTAACACTTGTCCGGTCTAAGTGTAATTGTATCCCTGCTACAACAAATCATTCAGGAGCCCAAATTTAAGGGAGTCGACACAGAATTTTCCAGATTAAGAGACTGACTTATTACAGAGCAGCTTGGCTGTTCTGGAATCTTACTTTTTCTTTTAGTATGTCTTTATCTAGTGGTGTATCCTGGGGAGTAGTGGGAGTGGTCATCCCTGGGAGCAAGCAATAAGGGGGCACGTTGTTGGTAGAGAATTTAGAGTCAGGAAAACCAACCAAAGTTGATCTGCCTTTTTAAATGTTTTTTTTTTAATATGAAATTGTTTCATCTTCATTTTTTAATTGGAATTTTTATTGATGTAATTATAAATTCATGTGCAGTTATAAGAAATAGTACAGATAGATCCCCTGTGTCCTTTCCCCGGTTTCCTCCAATGGTAACATTTTGTAACCCTGTACTACAATATCACACCTAGGGTATTGCCATTGATGAGTCCATCAACCTTATTCAGATTTCCCCAATTTTACTTGTACTCATCTGTGTGTATTCAGTTCTACACGGTTTTATGACATGTAGATCTGTGTGTCCACTACCACAGCCAGGATACTGAACAGTTCCGACCCCACAAGGATTCCTCATGCTGGCCTTTTATAGCCACACCTCCCTCCCTCCTGCCTATTATCTCTACACTCTGGCACCCACTAATCGGTTCTCCAGTTTTTAAAGTGCTGATTCGAGGGACACCTGGGTGGCTCAGTTGGTTAAGCATCCGACTCTTGGTTTCAGCTCAGGTCATGGTCTCAGGGTCATGAGATTGAGCCCTGCATCAGGCTCTATGCTCAGCAGGGAGTCTGCTTGAGGATTCTCTCTCTCCCTCTCCCTCTGCCCCTCCCCCAACTCATGTGCTTTCTCTCTCTCTCTCTCTCTCTCTCTCTCAAATAATTTAAAAAAAAAGTTTCAAAAATGTTACATAGATGGAATCATATATATTATGTATTCTTTTAGGGCTTTTTTACTCAGCCCACTTCTCTTGAGATTCATGCAAGTTCTTGCACCAATAATGTATTCCTTTTTTCTGAGTATTATACCACAGTTGGTTAAACCATTCACCCACTGAAGGACATCTAAGTGGTTTCTAGTTTTTTTCCTATTACTATTAAAACTGTTAGGAACATTTGTGTGCAGGTGTGTTTTTTTTCTTTTTATCACCCTATGCTAATGATTCTAAGCCAGACCATTCCCATTGACCTGCTCCCGGCCCAATACACCACTCTGGTACTGGAGTTCGGTCTGTCTTCCGGGGATTGAAGGATGGCAGGCGGGGAAAGGGTAAGCTGTGGTGATCGTTCTGCCACCAATCTCTGACGAGACTTTTGCTTCTCTCTCTGCTCCCTTTTCCTCCTGTTGACTAATGCTCCTTATTTTCTGATCCACAGAGGGAACTACTTTGCTTGACTTAACGTACCCCAGCCATCTCGTGGATTAAGAATCAGTCTATGGATAAGCCATCACTGGGTCAGGTGTTCATGCCAATGCAATACATAGCCATTCCTGGGTAAAGAACATCCCCTTTCCCAAATTCTGAGGCAGGGTTATTTCAGCTGTGGGCTGTGCACCTCCTCGTATGTGATTTCTGCTAACGGGAGGCATCGAATGGGCCATGACTACCAGGTCTGGTATGCGTGGAAGAGTCTCGAGAATCTTCACCACAAAAAAAGCAAAAATTGATAAAACACCAAATGTTGACTTTTACAATAACATTCTTTAAAATAAGGTGGTAAAATGAACTCCAATAAGATATGAAATGATCTGTCGACTAGTGAAAAGTTAGGTGATGTATTTCAAAAAAGGAATACTTTAGTTCTGGAAAAGTTGATTTATAGCCCTTCTTTCTTTTTGTAACGAGAGTACAGGTTGGGCTTACTGATAAGGTCCCTCTGAGTCCAAGATAATAAAAACATAATATATAAAAATGCTTTGTGTCCCTTTGTGTGTAACTGAGAACAATAAAGGGGAAAAAAAAAGTTCTCAGATCCATTAACATCTAATTTTTGAAGTGGCCAGGGAACACTTTTTCCTTTAACGCAGGGGTTGGTGAACTCAGCGAGCCTGCCACCCGTTTTTGTAGTTTCCCTGGGACACGGTCACACCCATCCACTTACTCATTGTCTGTGGCTGCTTTGATTCTTCAACCGGCATACCTGAATAGTTGCAAAGGCCTGCAAAGGCTCAAATATTTACTAGATGACCCTTTACAGAAAAAAATTTGCTTTAATTTATTAAGAAACCATTATTCTAGCCCTGATCATTTTGGGTGCTATTCTGTATGAGCATTAACTATGAAAGGCTATGTTCACTCATGCAGCTTAACTCAAATTCCTGGCCTACAAAATGAAAGGTCAGTACATGCCAAAATCTAATAATTTTCATGCAGATTTCCTCTGTAAGGTATTAGAGGGGATGAAAATGAGTTGACAGAACTTTCATTACTGGCTTGTGTAAAACTCTGCCCTGAGAAACCCAGACTGAAATATCTCGTTAAAGGCTGGTGTTCATAAAAAAAAAAAAAAAAAAAGTACCTAAAAAGATGAAGCATTCAGTAAAATAAAAAGGTATGTATTTTGGCATGAAGAAAGTCAAATATACATTACTTGATAAGCCTAGGCATCAAATTCCCTGGCCTGGTGAGGCAGAGCTGCAAAGAAACTTCCCCATATAGTTTATACCCTTAAAGAATCCCAGAGCGGGGGGAGTTGGCCACGTTTCGTGTCCTGTAGGGAAGATATGTATCATGCCAGTGGCGCTACAAGTGTCTATTCAAAGTCCCAGCATTGTCCCTGAGATCCTTAGAAACCATTTTGGAAAGAGACACTTTTCATGAAGCAGTGCGGGTCATTTCTAAGTAGTCCTGGATTGTCCATATATTCTACATAGCCAAGGATGACATAGAGGGACGTTAGGTGGAACCTCGGTGAGAATTACAGGGTTTGCAACTAAACCTGGTGGACTAGAATCATCTGAACCATTTAATGTCTATGGATGATGGCCATCTAAATCTTGCAAGAGCTGAGTGTTTAAGATCCTTTTATAGGGAATTTCATAAATACACCAAAGTCAATTTTACTGAATCTTTCTAGCCACAAATGTAGCTCCACCTTCTGGATTTTAAAACAAATTCCCCTTGGGTAGATTCTAACACATGGGGTGCAATTTTCAATCCATCTCTCAAACTTTGCTTTGGTGTCTGCTTTATGAAAGAACTTCCTTTGTTCATAAAAAGTCAGAGTTTTCTCCCACTTTTAAGAGACTTATCAGGAACAGACAAGGTTTTTTTTTTTTTTTTTTTTTTTTTTACTCAAACTTTGAAAATAAAATCTGCAGTATCGTAAGATTACTTTAAAAATGTGATGATGACTGTAGGTGGTGAAATGCTTTCAGTGACTCATAATTAGATAACAACCAGCTTGGGGAGAAGAGCAAAAAAGTACTTTTTACTAGAGAAGATGTAATGAGCTGTTGCTATCAATTTAAGGCAGCACACTAGCACTTCACAAACCTAAAATTGCAGCTTTACAAAAATCCGAGGTAGTACTTACATTTGAATACATTAATTTTACATACTTAAAGTCTTTAATTAAAAAAAAAAACACAAAGCAGCAACAACTCAATTGAAAGTTGACAAACAGGACACAATTCCTTGCCGAAACTAGTCATTAAAAGCTAATAAATAGTTACAGAATGTATTTTACATTGACTTTTTAAAAGTGAAATTTTGTGTTAAGATCACAGAGTAAAAGGCATAATAAAATAGAAGCTATTAATTATGTTGTAACGTTGAATACTGGGTTTGGGTTGCTATTTTAATGGTATTTATTCTGTATGCTGTTATCTATGTGGTCTGACATTCCTTCCCCTTATTCCTTTTTTTTTTATTAACTAAAATCCATAGTTTATTAGATTTCCTTTTCTTTTTTAAATTTATTTGTTCCCCTTATTCCTTTAGAATTTCTTGGAGTAAGCACAATGCCATTTCTTTAACTATTCAATGATCACGCAAGAAGTGAAAGCACAGCGCAGGAAGATAATCTTTATTGTATTTTAAATAAAAACAGAGCAGATAGCAAGTTCACGAGGTATATTGGATTATTATTCCTTTAAAATCAGGCTTCAATAACAATAATCGAAAGCAAGCCTTAACCGAACAGATATTTTGGTCACTAATATAATCTTCAAGGGCACAAAAGCCAGCAGAGCAACGTAAAAGAAAGGTAATGGCTGTGAGAATTTTTGACGTGCCAAATGTGTAGATCACCCACATGAAACTCTATCCTTGTACTTTCTTAATATTCTTCTTAGACATCGAACAATTATTCAGCAATATATCAAACATGCACGTAGTATTCCTACAAGAATACTATCACTATCTTCATATTGTCACTACTAATACTAAGCCTGCCTTTCCCCTCAAAATGCAATGAATCGTGGTTCCCCTCCCTATGTATATTAGTGTTAGTGGTAATATGCAAAATTAATTTTGTTTTCCAGGCTAAATAACCAGATTGCCTTCGCGTTTGGCGACCAGCTATGTACCCCAATTTTTCATCTTGTATTTTCTTAATATATTTAACTACATTTCATAAGCCCTGAGATATTCATTAACCTGCTAATGATTGTATACTTCTAATTTGTACTTGACTCCACTCAATTTGAACCCCATGTGATAAGTACTTAAATTATTTACAGATGGTTGTAACTAAAGCAATGACAAAATTGACTATGTATAGTCACACTGCTAGTAAGGCCTTTAACTAAGAGTTGCATATTGTATGCATTTTTTTACTCGCTAGGAGCAATGCTTAAAATGACATCGATAAGTCTCTGTCAGCAATAAGTGCTTTTCATTTTGCTTATTTCTACATGGATAACCAGATTCATTTTCTTCTTGTAAAACAATTCTTTTATTTCTTCCCCAAGCATGTTAGCTGTCCAACTGAACAGGTGGCAAAAGTAACTTAGCATTTGCACAGTACATTGATAGTTGTAACGCTAGGAGAGAAATATGCATATAATAGGGATTCCATAAATGTTGGCTCTACGTGAAATGAGCCAGGTGTGAGTCAGCTGTCAGTGTCATGTACCTTTCAGCACACACTGTCCCGAATTTTGTTCGACTAGGGAATTCAGGTTACCAGATTTATTTGGTGTAAATACAAGAATTTTAAATTTAAAAAACTGGACAATTCTCAGAAAAAGTAAACAAGTCAATGATGGTTGCTACCGTAGTAATAGTTGGTAGGGAAAAAAACGAACCGAATTATTTTCTACTAAATGATATGTACAACTAAGTGAGGAGAAGAGATGAAAAACTAAGAAGTGTTAGCTAGTTATTATTTTCTCCACATTTATCTTTGCATCTTTTTTTTTTTTGGTCATATATTTATCCCTGTTAACTTCTCTGGATGACAGAGAATTTTATTATCTGGATGGATTTCCCCATCTTCTTAGGTACATGTTAGTGAAAAGCCAGTGTAAATATAAGATTATATTTTCATGTCATGCTGTTATTTGTTTTTGTTTTTTGCCAACAATAAATTTTACCTATTTAAATGATGCCGGAGAGAATACGAGATAATCTGCCAACTTACTATGAGATTGCTTGCTTATAATGTTCAGTTTTCACTGGTAGCTTTTGAAGCATATTGCACACTTGTCATCTAACACATTAATAAGTAACTACTACTCTTTTTAGAAAGGATACACTGACACATTCTTAAGTTAATGGCTTTGGCCAAACATTTTTAGTCTGTCACAGGACAATAGCAATGGCGAAAACATTGACAATACAGTTCATGGTTCGGTTCTCCCATCTTACGGTACAGGTGCCTGAAACACACACAAAAAAAGGACTTTGAAATATCAGCAACATATCAGAATTGCCAGGGAATACACACACACACACACACACACACACACACACACACACACACTTTTCATCTGTTTTAATATCTTATTTCCTGCAATCTGTTAAATCTTCACATTTCATATTTGTCTGAAGGCATACTCATTGCTAGGTACAAAGTGATCCTATTGATAGCCTTTTCGAAATTTAGAGATAAATAAGCATTTGATAATAAGTGTTGGACCCTGCCAGAAGTTGGACTTTGTATGAATCAGCTTAAGGTCTCTTACCATCAGATGTAGTATCCCAAAAACATGAGCTGGCTGTGTGAAAGCCATAGGCACTCCTTTGAACCACTGCACAGGTCACTGAAAATAAAGTCACAGCATGAGAACACTGACAGACAAAGGCACAGATATCTAAGATATCTAAGTGTTGGAGTTCAGAGCTCTACAAGCTGTAAAAAGAACAGAAAACAAAGCTTTTGGCAAATAGATTAGAAAAAATAAGTCCCCTTGATTATCTACCACCACGATTTTGACCCCACTGGGTCCAGTCTGTTGCCCATTGCCATGACCACTGGTGATTATGCCGCAGAAAAAGCCGGGCCAAATCACGTGCCTCACTCCATGGCAATAATCCAGACATAGAAATGAAGAAAAGATTACACTTTCCAAACAACTACTATGTGGCACCTCACCGTCCTACGTACGTGTAAGGAGGACGGAACTCCTGACAGGGAGACAGTAGGGCTGAGTGGTTTTGGTGGAAGGAGGTAGCTGATACAGATGTAAGAGGTGCTGCTACCAAGGACAGGTAGGTGGCTGGCAGGAGCTCCAACTGCTTCTGAGTAGCAAAAGATCTCCATCTTTTAGGTATTACCAAATATTATCTTTGGATGAATAAGCCAGAAGTCCTTCATATCCTATTAGAATCCAACTTGTCTATCACTCATTTACATTCTCTAAGTTCAGAGAAGACCGTGAGGACAAAGGGGAGGAAACTAGTGAGGAAGGACACTGATACTTACCAATATATTTATAAGCTTTTCCCAACTTAACCAAATGTGTCAAGGACTGTTCCACTATGCTTGCAGTCCACTGGTTGATGTTGTTCTGGTTATAATCTTCACCACCCAAGACCCCATCTATACACTAAAAGGGCAGAGGACAGTTAAAGACATATACAAATCACAGCAAAAATTTATTCAAAACAAAAAAATTAACCCCAAGAAGCATCTTAGAAAATATGCATCTGGTAAATATTTATTATGCCCTGTCTCTAGCTGTTTTAGAATTTTCAGGGCATTCCTGCATGTACTTTCTCACTCTACGAGATACTACGGGCCCTATAAAAATAAACAGGACTTGGCCTCTGTTGTAAAGAACTAGAAGAGAAGCTAATAAAAGAAACCTGTAACACCAGAAAGACTAATCAAGGATGATAAGCTCTGTCATAAAAGGATTATGGAGGGGAGTGAAGATTAAGAAAGGGGGATATTAATTGGTTAAAGGCTGGCTTTGAAACAGCTGGGATTTGAACCTTAGGTTTCAGATGCTCGAAATAAAGCAGGAGTCCAATTTAAAAATAGAATCCTCATGTGTGATAATTACATTTCTGTTTATATTATGTAATTACTTAGCTATAAAGCTACCACCTCCTGCCACTAAAAGTAAATCAACAAACACCACTTTTCAGGGGCTCTAGCACAGGACAGTTGAATAATTTTCCAGTGCTCACTCACGTCCACTTCTGATGCCTGATTAAGAGCACCAGTTTAGTATCACAAGCTTAGATGTAAGGTCACTTCTGCCACCTACTCACTGTGACCTTTTGCAAGTGACTTAACCTCTCGGAGCCCCTATTTTCCTAATCCTTAGAGATCAGAGCTTCATCTTATCAGGTTGATGTGAGGATGGGGTGAGATCCTGAATGTCAAGCGCTCAAGTACAGTGACTGAGACAGAGTAAGCAGTTATGCAACCTTACAGATCATCATCATCCTTAGCGCTGCTGTTATTTTATTTTTTCCGGCTTTACTGAGATATAACTGACACATAACAGTGTGTAAGTTCAAGGTGTACAATGTGATGATTTGATACACAGATATATTGTGAAATGATCACAATAAGGTTAGTTAACATTATCCATCCCTCCATGCAGTTACCACTTTTTGCCTTTGTGGTGGAAACATTTAAGATCTACTCTGAGCAGGTTTCGAGCATACGGTACAGTATTGTTAACTGGAGTCATCATGCTGTACTACATAGTTCTAATACATGAGTCTGAACTATCAAAACACGGCAGGATTTTCCAGTGCTTGTCTGGCTTTCTCAGACCTCAGGTTGATCCTACCTGTACAAGGCCAGCCCTGGATGAGTTCTGGGTGAGCTTGTGCCCTAGAACATTCAGACAGGTGAGGCCCCATCTCAGGATGGACTGAGAAGGTGCTTAATGCCCAGAGGGCAAGCCAATCCAGCCCAGACTAAAGGCAGGTAGAGCCTGCTAGGACACAGACCCAGCCACCATACCCACAATACAAGGTTGCCTTCTGGGCCAGCTCATTTTTTCCCTAGGATTTGGCACAGTGAAAAATGACTCAGGACTATTAAAAGTGTTTATAAATACCTTACCCACCATGTAGTCTGTGTGTGATACAACTAGAGTAATTCAAGTTCCTCTGCCAGAATTGATTCCCAAATAGAACTTCTTGTCTACTTGCCTACTAGGAGGACCAGATTTCATGTTTCAAATACTTAAGGTTTTGATTTAGCATCATATCAGTGTCTATAAGATGGGAAGTGATTATTTTTCCAATTAGTTGGGCTAAAAAAGCATATTTCTAGGGTCTTTTGACATATTTTACATATAATTTACCTATATAAAAGTGTGTGTGTGTGAGAGATATACACACACACACACATACTTCTATAGCATTAACATTTAAAATTAATATTTGGCCTACCGGAATAAAACTTCTTTTATTCAAAAGACGGAACATCAATTTTACAAAACAGCAAACCAGCTTTCTAGACTAATACTCCAATATCACTTTCAGAGTAAGCTCCAGGATGCCTGATAGCATACAACAAAACACCTTTTTAAGGCCCGTCTCTATGAAGCACCCCTATAAAAAGTGAGTAAATATTAAAAATCTTGTTTTAATAGTAAGGTTTCTAACTTTGTACTGGAAGTCAAAACAGAGCTTTTTAAAGTTTCAATCAATGCAGCAAGCTTCAAGATGAACGAAATGTGTAACTCACCTCTTTAACGATATTGTGTGCTTCATCAGCACTGAAACCAACCTAAAGGGGGGAAACAAAAGATACAGCTGCTTTCAACACAGACTTCCTTTTATTTATAGCTGTGACGACACGCAGAATACCTGAGGCTGGCCTGAGCAGGTATTAGTGACAGCAGACCATAGTGATAAGGGGAGTCAGTTCTACCGAGGCTGCTAATCCCACGGAGAACACTTCTAAAGTTGCAGAATGCTTTCCCTACCTCCCTCCCTCGAGATTTTGATTCATCAGGTCTGGGGCACAGCCTGGGCAACCACATTTTTTTTTAACAGTGCTTTACTGGTGATTTTGATGAATGTCCTAGATTGAGAATCTTTGTATTGTAAAGCTCAGAAACCAGCAGGAGGAGGGTATGAAGATGTATACACATACATCAGTATATAGGAAAAGGCCGCAGCAAATTAAGAATGAGGTGGTCCATGAGAAGACACTGATTAGTATACTGTTTTCAATTTTGTTTTTTAACTTAGGCGGGGCAAAAATGTGGCTTTCCTGAGTTAGAGATTATGAAAATGCTTGATCTAAGTTAATGTCACTTTAATACTATAATAGGCCTGGCAACTTAATCTTTGCTGTGGAGTGGCTTGACAGAATTCTGAGTTAAAAGCAACTATTAACGACATCCAAGTGTCCTAGAGTAGAGAACTAGGCTATGTGATAAGATTACAATCTAAACCCAAACTCTTCAGGTAATACATGATTTGTTTCCATGGAGACGTTTTAGGTGCTCTATGACATCACCATTTTTGAAAATCCCACTGTGCAACTTAAAATTAGTTCAAAAAACAATCCTGGAAGTAAGTATCATCTTGAGTATAGATTTAAAATATTTTCAACTCATTTAATTACACCAGAGAATTCCCCAACAATAAAGGAATAAAATCCTAAATAATGAGGATTGCGAAAACAGCTCTCACATTTTGACCCTCTCAAAATTATCATTTTGCCTTAAAATAAGGCCATTATCGATTTTCAAAAGTGGCCTACAGATTAAGTGATGTCCATTTCACTTCGATTTGGAAGGTCACCAAAATAATCAGGTAGTACTGAGTGGCCATGGTAACACATGTAATTTTATTTCTTTTTAAATATATTTAGAAAGTACTGCAGTACACAACTCTCTTAGGAGTCAGGAGACAAGCACCTGTTGGGGGATCTGTCTGTCTGAGAGTGAATCTGCTTGTGCCTCAATTTCTAAAATAAGAATACTTTCCCACTAACCTACAAATGTGTGTGCTACCTGTATCACAGAACTAATGAATTTAAGTGTGGTTGTAGCTTCAGCAGAATCCCACCTACAGATGGATGGACCGGAAGCCCTCTCCAGGGGTCTAATAACACACCATTTTCTGTGGTACCTCCTCCAGGTGCCTACTTCCATTTCACTACATCATTCACCTGTGGCTACCACGGGACAGAAAATGTCTTTGTCTCTTCTGCCCTCCAGGCCTGTCACAGGTTATTACCCTCCTAAAGGTTAAATGGAGCCAGGGTTGTAGGGTTCAAATGGAGCATCTGTCATTCCTGGCAGTTTTAACTTTGGGCAAATCACTTAGTCGCTATGAAAGTCAGGGTCCCCATCAGTAACAGGAAGATAACAACTGACATCATGGGGTTCTGGTGAGGTGCCGGGAAGCCTGAGTCAGTAAGCAAGGGCTCGTAATCCATGAAGCACCTCCTTCCAGCCCACCCAGGCGAGAGTGCCGCGGAGCGGCTCTGCCATCAGGGCCTCGCTCGCCAGCCAGGCTGCGGCACCTGCTTCGGGGACGCCAAGGGGCGGAGGAAGTCGCCGGGCAGACAGGTTTCTAAGGCCCGTCTCTCAGACGGGCGGCGCCCGACACCCCATCCCCACCCCACGCACCCCGAGTCCGGCCTTCCACCCCTCGGCCCCGATTCCCCGCCCGCCCCGCGTGCTCCCAGACGCCCCTGCCAGCCCGACTCTCAGCCCACCCTCAGGGCCTCGGGGTCGGGAGGCCGGGGCCGGGCCGGGCCGGGCGGGGCGGGTCCCGGCCCGGAGGGGCGGGGAGGACCCAGGCTCGGAGGGCGCCGCACCCCGACTCTCAGGGCCGCCCGGCGCCGAGAGACCACCCGACCGAGACGCCTCGGCGAGGCGGGCGGGGGCGGGGGTCTTTCGCGGGCGGCCGAGGGGCGGTACCTCTTCGCAGTGGCGGTGGTACTCCTCCATGGTGGCACCGACACTCTCGGGGGGCGGAGCAGCGGGCGGGTCGAACTCCGCGGCCGCGCAATGGCCTCTTGGGAGGCCCCGCCTCCATTTATACACCGGGGCGGTCCCCACGAAGGCTCCGCCTTTGTGTCGTAACTGCGCCACCTTGTCGGTAAGGCAGGCAGGGTTCTGCGCGATGGGTGGCGTCTGACCTCTGCCTCCGACCTTTCTGGAAACAAGGGTTGCGTGGTGAAGCGCTGGGGATTGTGCCGGTGTGGGTCAGATGCGGTGACCTAGTGTTAGTCTAGACTGCACAGTACTGGTTGAGTGCCCACTGCTGTGTCTATGTGCACATATTCTTTCATCATCATCTAGCCAATAAGTGCAGTTAATGTAATAATGAACAAGCCACTTTGATTTCTTCACTTACTAGCTACATCACTTGGGTGAATTGACCTCTCAAAGCCTCGTATGAAAACTTGAAGTTATACCTATTTCACTGTTGATTGTAAGAATCAAATGAAATGTTATATACATAACTCTTAAAAGTGAATGCTCCCCAGCATCCTGCTTTGTTTTACTTTCCAAGCAAGATCTGTTGAGATTCCCACTTGCATTCTAACGAGCTCACCCTTATTTGCCTCTCTTCTGATGTATTTTGTGTATTAGATTGTGTGGGAGGTATTCTAGAAGGCATTAATGGTTTGCATTCAAAATGACGTGGTTTGTCCAAATTATTTTCTGTCTTTATTATTGAGATGGATTAATCTCATTTTTTTCTTGATGATTTGAAGTTGTAAAAGTTGTCCAGCTATTGCTTAATAAAATTTTGCAGATCAAAAAAAAAAAAAGTGAATGCTCCTATACCCGTCCTCCTCAGTGACTACATAAAAAGAAATAATTGATTTGTAGGAAACGAGGTGCTAATATCCTAAATTATAAAATTTGGCAGAACAATGATTACATTTATCTAAAGGTAGTATACTAAGTTCCAGATGATCCTCAGGATTTCCTCATGTAAACTCAGAATAACCCAGCAGGTTTGGTGCTGGTGCCGTATCATCCCATTTTTCAAGACGAGACTGAGGTGCAGAGAGCTGAAGTCATTTGTGGAAGTTCCCCTATCCGGTGAATAATAGAAGAAGGATTTAAACTCAAATAGTCTTGATAGTAGCACCCAAGTTCTTAACCTAAATTAGCTTCCTATTGCTGCTATAACCAATTACCATAAATTTAGTGGCTCGAAGCGGCACAGACTTATTAATTTACAGTGCTAGAGGTCGGAAGTCTAAAGTGGGTCTGCAGGACTTTGTTCCTTCTGGAGGCTCTAGGGGAGAATCCATTTACTTGACTTTTGCAGCTTCTAGAAACTGCCTGCATTCCTTGGCTCATGACCCCTTCCTCCATCTTCAAAGCTGGCAATTTAGTATCTTTTCTCCTCTCTAACCTCTACTTCCATCCTCATGTCTTCTCCTTCTGTCTCTCTCTCAAGGTCCTGAACTTCATCATCACTGCAAAGTGCCTTTTGCCATGTGAGATAACATATTCACAGGTTCCAGGGACTTGCAGATGTGGACATCTTTTGTGGGGCAGGAGTGGGGGTGGCAGGGGATGCATTACTCAGCTTATCACAACCACTATTCGATTTTACTCTCCTAAATCAAGGTTGGAAGGTTCATTAGTATTCTAGTCCAACTCTCTTATTTTACAAGTAAAGCTGGAGCTCAGAGAGGTGCCATAATTTGGGCAAGGGCACGTGGTTATTAACCGGACCCCGGGGCTTCTGAATCTCAGGCCTCTGCATTCTCTGCTCTCATTTTATGGGCTAGGCTGAACCAAATTGGCCCATTTACTTGATTGTGTGCACTTTGTTACTGGGTTCTCCTAAGTTGTGCATCGTGTCCGAGTTACTGCAGAAAAGCCTCACAGAGGAGGACTATTTCTCCTTTCTCAGGATATTTTGCATACCGAAGTTATTGCAATATGGTGACAGGTATTATGCCTACTTGTTTTGCAATCACAGGGAAACAGGTAACTCCCATAAGAAACCTTTTCTAGAATTAGAAAGTATTTAGTTCACTTCAGAACTATTCATCTTTTGAGAACAAGAGTTCATTTTTCAAGTTACGAGGTACCACTTTGGGAATGAAAAATTCTGTGTACTTGAATAAGACACTTAAAATCACAGTTATTAATGTTCTCACTAATAGACCATCATATGTTATATAAGTACATAAATATTGGTGGACCTCTCTAATTTGTAGTGCTAACCCTGCTTCACTATGGGTTCTGCTTCAGGCATCTGCATCTATAACCCTTTTGTTTTTAGTATGTGAGCTACTCTAAATCAAGACTTTCACACAGTACTATTTTAAGGCCTTTATAATATCTGGTCCCAATATGACAGCATAGCACAAACTATTATTACTAAAGAAAATAGCAAGGTAATACAATTTTCCTAATTATCAGAACTAATGACCAAGGGTAGAACGCTAATTTTTAAATTGTTTTATTTAGGATGAACATGGATCAACAATAGGGCAGGGAATAGAAGATATAAATGGAGCAAGAAGTTACTATGCTCATATACACTTTCCTTCCTTTCAAAAGCACTGGTCGCCAGTGTAGACGTGTGAGGAGAAATGTCCTATCTGCTGACGATCGCTATGCTGTGGAATTAGTCTTTGGAGAGTTGAAAAGAACAGGAAGTGAACTTTGGCTGCAAATCAGAATCATAAGAGGAGGTTTTAAAAATGATCTAGGCTAGACCCCACCTCCTGAGATTCTGATTTGATTGCTCTGGAGAGGAGCCTGGCATCAGTAGTTTTTCAAAAAGCTTCCCCTGGTGATTAAAACATGTAGTCAGGGTTGAGAATGCTTGGCACAAAATCCTTTCTTTTCCCCTAAAACAAAGTAAGTTCGCTTTTTCTGGTAAGACTTAAACATGGTTCTACTGGAAGTGAGAGCGATAAATTATATTAATTCTTGGGGCTTCTTTGTGACCTATGATTCGGTCGTTCATTCATTCATCAAATGTTCATTTAGCACCCACTGTGGGCCAGGCATTGCGTTAGAGGCAATCAGGGGCGATTTTCCCCCTTGGGGCTCCTGCAAACATTTGATAAGTCTGGAGCCATTTTTGACCATCATAGCTAGCATGGGTGCCACTGGCATATAGTGAGTAGAGGCCACGGATGCTGCTAAACATCCCACAAGGCACAGGGCAGTGCCCCACAACAAAACTTACGTTACACAAAATAATAGTGTTGAGGGTGAGAGACAGGAAAAAGTCCCTGTCTCTATGGTATTTATGTATATTTGTACGTATATATGTATACACGTGTGTGGGACGTCGGGTAGTGAGAAGCATTACGAAGATGATCTAAGCAAAGTGAGGGAATGAAGTGTGATGGGGGAGAGGCTATTTGGGTTGAGGTGATAAGGGAAGGTTCCTCTGAAAAAAACGTTTAAGTGATCATTTGAATGATGTGAAGAAGTTAGATGGGAACTCGAAAGTTAGGTTAGAAGTTGGATTCAAAATTGGAAGTTAGATGAGAGAGAACATTGTGTTTTCTCAGAGCGGAAGGGAGTGGTCCTAAATTTCAAAGCAAAACCAGTTATGGAGGCCTCGGGGTCCAGTCCCATTCAGCTCTTGGAAGCGTGAGGAGAGTAGGATTAACCGGGGTTAGGATGTCTGCCGGTGATTTTAACTGAGGAAGAGAGGATCATGGGATTTGAAGGCATTTTCAGAGGAGGGAGTGTGCTGATAGATCACGGATTCCAAGCTGAGTAAGTAGCAATGAACAGTGAAAAAGCAATAGGTTCGTGGCATCCAAGGTCCCAGTGGGGTCAGAGAATTACTGCGGCGAGGGTTTTAGGAGAAGTGAGATGGGAAGAAAGAGAGTGAGGGTCAGAAAGTCAGATGACTGAAGAGAAAAATAAATGAAGGAGCAAGGAAGATCCTCTCCTACATGGTGCCTTCATTCGCTCCTTCTATCATCATACCGGGGGCCTGGAAGCCAGGGGAGGGGTGCATTACTAGGAGCATAAGAAGCTTGGTATCGGTGTCACGGCTGACGGACAATGTTTTTATCAGCTTCTGTGGCTTTTATTTGATGTCCTTCCCTGGCTTTTTGGTATTTGGGGTGGTCAGGGGGACGTGAGGGAAGAAGGATCACTGAGAACAAAGCCGGGCCGGCTGTACCACGATTAGCACGTGGGGGGGGGGGGGGGGGGGGGGGCACTGTAAGCAGGCACCAGGGAAGAAAAAGAAAGGCTTGCCTATACAGATTGACGCCTTTCCTGCGGACTCACAGATTGTATGTGAGGTATGCAGCTTATGTTCTTTCCTCTCTTTCCTGTCCTAGTCTCTGCCATGAATTTGTATCATGATTTAGTACTTGTTCATGCAGCAAAAGGTGAAATTACATTTAGGTCTCTGGTATGCTCTGCTTGTTCACACAGTTGCAGGAAACCATAAGAATGTTTTTGGCTGGGCGCCTGGGTGGCTCAGATGGTTAAGCGTCTGCCTTCGGCTCAGGTCATGATCCCGGAGTCCTGGGATCGGGTCCCGCATCGGGCCCCCTGCTCCTTGGGAGCCTGCTTCTCCCTCTGCCTCTCTCTCTTTTTCTGTCTCTCATGAATAAATAAATAAAATCTTTAAAAAAAAAAAAAGAATGTTTTTGGCTGGGGTGCGTGGGTGGCTCAGTCAGTGAAGTGTCCGCCTTTGGCTCGGGTCATGATCCCAGGGTCCTGGGATCGAGCCCCACATCAGGTTCCCTGCTCCGAGGGGAGTCTGCTTCTCCCTCTGCCTGCCGCTCCCCCTGCTTGTGCTCTCTCTGTCTCTCTCTCTCTCTCTGTCAAATGAATAAATAGAATCTTTAAAAAAAAAAAGAATGGTTTTGGCTGAGGTTTAGGGGATTCGTTTGTGTGTTTTGGTCCCTCCTCTTGCCATTTCTAGCGAAGGCGGCAATTTTTGAACCGTTCATTGAACTAAAAATTTTACTCACGTTATGGGCAATCCACACCCAGCTCATGCACAAATTACAAACTTGAAACAAATCTCAGGACTCAGAATATTTCCTTATATTAGAGAGGGGGAAAAAAATCTTATTTAGTGTCTCTCTTTTAGTGGCAAGAAACGCTGACCTTTTGATTCACGGTATAGACTGTGACCCTTTTGTCTATTACAGTGCTTTATTGCCCTGA